ATATATATATATATATATATATTATATATATATTATATATTATATATATAATATATAATATATATATATATATATATATATATATATATATATATATATATATATATATATATATTATATATATATATATATATATATATATATATATATATATATATATATATATATATATATATATATATATATATATATATAATATATATATATATATATATATATAATATATACATATATATACATATATATATACATACATACATATACATACAGACAATGTACATATATATATATATATATATACAATGTATATATATATATATATATATATATATATATATATATATATATAATATATATATATATATATATATATATATATATATATATATATAATTTCAAGATGTAGTTGAGGTCATTGATAAAAATTAAAGGACAATTTAGAACTAATTAACTATATCAAGGACTCGGGAGTGTTTTTAATGCGTTCCTAGTAAAGTTGGTGATAATAGAATATTTGGTTAAATGCAGTAGAAGTTATATTGTCTTTTTAAGCATTCTGCATTATTTATAAGACTTGATTGGCATATTTGTTGAATTTTTATTTATATTCAGTCTCAAATTGAGGCAATTAGCTGAATGAACACATTGTTTGGTAGATGAAATTGGTTTCCTCTCAGTATTGTTTAATGATGTGTTATTTACATTATTAATTTCCAAATGATTGTACAGATAACATTTCTCTTGTATTTACCAGAGTTCAAAGCACCGGGAAAGCATTTTAACATGTTTGCTCTTCCTTTACAGGCAGTGAAGCCAGCTCTTTGGCCCCAGCAGAATCATCCCAGGAATCACTCATACTAGAACCACAGCAATTACCAAACATGGAGAGTTTAAGTGATGACAGCTTATAATAATGGCATTTTTAGGCATCAGATATTCTATACAAGTTTTGAAGTGTTGTAAAAAGGATTGATGATTTTCGTATGTTAGAAAGGATGCTGTAAAGAAAAAATATAAAAATAATTTTGCCATTGTATATCTGTTAAAATGAAAAGAAATACATATTAAAAGTAATATAGGCAAAAGATTGGAATATTTATAAGAACTATAAGCTAAGAACAGTGAAATAATCTGCTACAGTTTAGTGCCTGGTTTATGAGGGTATCAGAACCAGTAAGAATTTCAGTAAGCTTGCAGTAGTCATGTCATTGGAGGAGGTGTAATTAGCATTCATCATACAGACTTGTAAATGTGTGAAAAAAGTTCAGTATGTTCTTCCAAATAAATATTTTTCTTAGTTGGGTTTCAAGAAACAAAAGAGATTAATTTTTAAGGAAAGGTTTTCATTGGAGACTGTATGGTTACTCAGATGTGAATTCTTCTTTTGTTTCTTTCACTAAATTTCTTTACTCAAATAAGACGGATGGATGGCTTTCAAGTTTCTGGCCTTTCACTACTAGTCAGCACAATATAGGTTTACAGGAGATGGCAGGTAAATGAATCTTATTATTCTAAAGACTAGAATGTACTCAAAGAGAAGTAATTATACTCCAGTTGGAGCAAATTATGAAAAAGAAAAAATTGAAAGTCATTTAGTTTTTATTTTTAACAAGTTAAAAGGCAATCTATGTGATCTGTACATTTTCTCGTATATCATTGTATGAATGAATTCAATTTTTTCTGTATTTATTTGTTTGACATAATATCAAATAATTAAAAGATTTTTTATTCATAAAAGATTTTTTTCTTATTTATCTTTATTTCTAGGAGAGAAACATATTTTGTAGTAGCTGTAATTATGTTGTAATCTATTGCATTCATATATTTTTATTCTTACTGATTGACACAAAATACTTAATCCATAAATTTTTGGAAAGTCTTCAAGCATTAATGCATTTCTATCTACCTAGTCTCTTTAAAGATATGATGTGAGTTAGAATGGCAAAAATTTGTGAGGCAATATGCACATTCTGTATTAGATTGCATTTAATTGGAATATATCAAGAGTAAGCTTACTACAAAAGAAAGTTGAATGTGACCAGTGATATACAAACCAAATGAGAAGAGAATCCTACACATGTATACATATAGAAGTTGATCTCATCTTATAATATATGATCATCGAACTGTAGGAAATGAATTGGCTAATGCCAGCAAAAGAAGTTCAGGATTGCAAACCTCACCAGAAGTAAGGTTATATTCACTATTTAAATTGTTTTGTTGCTGGCAGTTTGACATTAAATATCCTCTGGGATTTTGCTTTCACTTCCCTTCCCCTTATTCTTCTTTCTCTTTTTGTTATGCTTTGATGAAATATATTTTTTGTACTATTTATTGAATGGAAGCTTGATGATTATAGATTTAAGTTGAATCGAATGAATGCATTCTGCCTCCTCTAATACATGCATGATCAGTTGGAAAGAAGGCATGAAATCTTTATTGTTCAAGCTAATAATATTCCCTGTTGAAAGATACCACTCTCAAGATATATATATACTTTAATATAAAGTCATTGCTGAGGAAGATAAACATTCAGAACTATTTATATTACAGTACACGATAATAGTATTGATATTTGTATCACAGTTTGGATGGTGTATGTGTATATGCCTTAATAGAGGGTAATTAAAAGAAAAGAAAGGAAAAATTAACAAAAACACACACTCACTCACACTGACTCTCATTCTTACTCCCATTCAATCATGCTCATACTTAGTCATACTTGAACTCACTCACATGCGTGCACACATGCATGCACGCACACCCACACACACCCATGCATACCTACACACACCCATGCACACCTACACACACACCCACGTACACCTACACACACACCCACATGCACACACACACTAGTGTACATGCAAATGCGCATGCACACACACACTTGCACACACACACACACACACACACCTCTCTCTCACTCTCACTCACTCACACACTCACACTTTCTCACTCACTCTCACTCTCTCTCACACTCTCATACTCTCATACTCTCACACTCTCACACTCTCACACTCTCTACTTCTCTCTCTCTCCTCTCTCTTCTCTTCTCTCTCTCCTCCTTCTCTCTCTCTCTCTCTCTCTCTCTCTCCTCCTTCTCTCTCTCTCTCCTCCTCTCCTCTCTCCTCTCTCTCTTTCATCTCTCTCTCTCTCTCTTCTCTCTTCTCTCTCTCTTCTCTTCTCTCTCTCTCTCTCTCTCTCTCTCTCTCTCTCTCTCTTCTCTCTCTCTCTCTCTCTCTCTCTCCTCTCTCTCTCTCTCTCTCTCTTCCTCCTCTCTCTCTCTCTCTCTCTCTCCTCTCTCTCTCTCTCTCTCTCTCTCTTCTCTCTCTCATCTCCTCTCCTCTCTCTCTCTCTCTCTTCTCTCTCTTCTCTCTCTCTCTCCTCTCTCTCTTCTTCCTCTCTCTCTCTCTCTCTCTCCCCTCTTCCTCCTCTCTCTACTCTCTCTCTCTCTCTCTTCTCTCTCTCTCTCTCTCTCTCTCTCTTTCTCTCGTCTCTCTTCATCTCTCGTCTCTCTCCTCATTCTTCTCTCTCTCTCTCTCTCTCTCTTCTCTTCTCTCTCTCTTCTCTCTTCTCTACTCTCTCTCTCTCTCTCTCTCTCTCTCTCTCTCTCTCTCTCTCTCTCTCTCCTTTCCTCTCTTCTCTCTCTCTTCTCTCTCTCTCTCTCTCTCATCTCTCTCTCTCTCTCTCTCTCCTTCCTCTCTCTCTCTCTCTCCTCTCTTCTCATCTCTCTTTTAACTGAGAGTTCTCCTTCCATCTTCCTTATACTTTCGCTTTTGATCTTTTTCTTAAACTACTCTCTCTCAGCTCACGGGGGGAACTCCACATCCGTTGAGGACCTTAACTCTCTTCTCTCTCCTTTCTACCTCTTCCCGTTCTCTACTCTCTCTTCTCGGTGCGTGGCTCTCGTATGAACTACTCTCATCTACTCGTACTTCTTACCCATCTTCTTCCTATTTCCCTCTACCTATCATCTCTAACTCATCTCTCTCATCATAAACTCTTCTCTCCTCTCTCTCTCTCTCGTCTCCTCTCTCTCTTCTGCCTATTAGGTCCCGTCTTCTCTCTTGCTCTTCATCTCTTTCCTCTCTCTCTCTTCTCTCTACCGTTTCGGCCGTCACTCTCATTACTCACGCTTAACTCCTCGTCTTCTCTCTCTCTCTCTCTCTCTCTCTCTCTCGTCTTCCTCTGTCTCTCTCTCTCTCTCTCTCCTCTCTCTTCTCTCACTTCCTTTCTCTCTCTTCTCTCTCCTTCATTATTTCTCATACTTCTCTCCTCATTCCTTCTCTCTCTCGTCTTCTTTTCCTTTCCTTTTAATCCTCCTCCTTTCTACACTCCACGTTGTTACCTTTCTCTGCGTCTCTCTCTCTTATTCTTCCTTCTCTCTCTCTCTCTCTCACCCTTGTCTCTTCTCTTCTTCTACCTCTCCATTTCTCTCTTTCCTTCACTTTCTCTCTTTGCTTCTACTCCTCCTTTTCTCTCTCTCTCTCTCTCTATACTCTCTCTCACTCTCTCTTCTACTCTCTATCTCCATACTCTTCTCTCCTCATCTCTCTCTACTTTCTCTATCATTCCGGATATAAAGAAAGTAAGTTATATACTGAGTGTAAAAACAAATAAATGAAACCAAGAGAAACAAAAACAAAACTTGTATTTGCACATAATTTAGTTATATATTTAATAATTTAATAAGAAGTAGCAATCTCGTCTGCAAATCTAAAAACTAAATAATAGAATAAATAGAGTCGAAAAAGGATACGGGAGAGAAGGTGAGATAAGGCACAAAGAATCAGAAACAAGGAAAGCAGGAACGAAAAGAGAAGAGATCTCTCTCTCTGCTCTCTCTCATCGTCTGCTCTCCTTCCTCTCTCCTTCCTCTCGTTCCTTCCGTCTCTCCTTCTTCTCTCCTTCCTCGTCTCCTCCTCTCGTCTTCCTCCTACTCCTATGCCTCTCTTCCAGGTTGCCCTACTCCCTGTACCTCATCTCCTATTTCCTCGTGCTCCTGTCCTCTCTCTTCTCTGCTCTTATGCCATAACTCTCCTGCGCTCTCTACGATTAACACTCTCTCCAATTTACATCCTGCTCTCATCTCTCTCTCATCTCTCTCTCTCTCTCTGCTCTCTCTCGTCTCTCTCTTCATGCTCATCTCGTGCTACTCTCATCTCGTTCTCTTCCCTCTCTGTCTTCAACTGCTCTTGTCTCTCTCATCTGGATCTCTTTCTCTCTCTCTCTTCTTCTCTCTCTCCTCTCCTCTCTTACTCTCTCTCTCTCATGCTTAATCATACATCCAAATACATCATTAACAAAAAATACTCACTCAAACTCATCTACTTCATGCAATATATAAAAAAAATCTACAATCTCTACATACTCTCTCATACTACATCATCATAAAAAAACTCATCTACATCATAAACTCTCTCAAAAATACTCTAACACATACGACATCTCATCATCATACCAATACGCCATCTGCTAAACATAAACACCGCATCTCATCTACATCACATCGCTCCTTATTTATTAACAAACATAAAATGACGTAAATAGCATTATACACAGCTAGATTCAAAAAGAAAAAAGAAAAAATAAAATAAACCAAAAAAAAAAAGATGCTTGAGAAAACAATAAAATAAACATTTCAAATGACCCATGCTACACACAACCCAAACAACCAAAAACCCTCACATGCCTCTATGATATGTAGATGTATATATTATTATCATTAACCAATGCTGCAATTCATAGGGATATATACAGAGAGCAGATACGTAGGCATGATATGATACAAAATACCTTGAAAAACTTTTGATGTTATCATAGATAGATAATATCAGATGGAGATAAGTACTAATGATGATCCACCCTATGACCAAACAGCAGACACATTTTAAGCGTTACTGATAAACATTAAACAAAAAAAATATCAGAAAGGGGATAAGGCATAAAAAACAAGTGATGAGGCAGATACAGATAACACACAAGAAAATTAGCCAAACGCTAGAAGGGTATTGATACAAAATGTGAATTACTTGAAAAAAAATTTAACAACCGTGATAAAAAAGATTCTGATATTAGAATTTCTTCGAAGACAGAATTAAAAAAACCCAAGCCATCATGAAAGAAAGAACGATACCCACAAAAAATACCAACAATGGTGTGAAATCACCAATTAACATATATAGAAATTGCCTGAAGAAATAAGATTCAAGTTTGAAAATTTATATATTTGAGAATTAGAGAAAAAACACTGTATTAGAGGGTGTACTGTAAACAATGACTGGCACATAAAATGTTTTTCAAAGTCATGTATGGATATTTTAATGACTTTTACACCACAGTAACAACAATTACACTTACAATTTACAAGGGTGTGTTTATGGAACTTAATGCACTAATTCAGATGATCAAAAAGGCATTCCATCATGACCAAGGGAAAGAGGAGTTTGTCCCCTGCCTCTTTCAGACTTCTTGAGCGCCACTGTCATTAGCACAAGTGAGCGATAGAAAATTAAAAAGACAAGCACACCCATACAAACAGATAGATCTCTGTCTAAGAAAAGAGAGAGACGGAGAGGGAAAGAAGTGAGGGTGAGGGAGGAGAAAAGAGAAAGAAAATAAGAGATAGATTTAACATCATACTGTGCAAGGTTCGTTGTTGGATAAAATATATGTATATATATATTTTTTTGTGTAACTAAATTAAATACACTGATGTTACTGACAACTATAACTTTCTTCAAGTTTCTTGCTAGATTCAAAGCCTACGGATCTGCTTGAGTCACATCAGTGAGATTGTTAAGCAGTTAGACACTTGAGGCATGTTGTTGGTGTGGGTGGAGCAAAGGGTTCGTTTCTAATGTTCAGTCATTCAGTCGTGGTACTGGACTTGACTGTGCAAGCCATTTCGCTTTAAGAATATTTTTGTATAAAAAGAGATAGTGATGTATTTATTATCATACACATTTGCATTTGCACATATGAATATATATATATACATATGAACATGTATCCATATATACATATACATGTACATATATACACATATACATGTACATATATACACATATACATGTACATATATACACATATACATGTACATATATACACATATACATGTACATATATACACATATACATGTACATATATACATATACATATATACACATACATGTACATATATACACATATACAACACATATACACATATACATGTACATATATACACATATACATGTACATATATACAT